TGTACAACAGAATGTTGTTAAAGCTTTCTGTGCCAGATGATAAGGCTGATACCCAAGTGAGGCAATAGTGACAACTAAAGCTTAGGTGTACTATATCCACAGGGGCCAAATACACATCATTAGTAGGAGACAAAAGTGTTATTGGAGCCTTTTTAGCTTTTATGCGCTGTCTGACAATACAGTTTACAAAAAATACACATAACATGTTGACTGGCAAACAAGCAAAATATTTAATCACACAATTTTGCATTGTTTAGTACTAAACTAGTTAAGGAAAATTACGTTTCTTCTATAATTCTTTATATCTTGCACGATGTATCTGTCTCTTTTGCCTGTACTAAACATAAATTCCCTGTTTAAAGCCAGTTTCCCAAGCAATCAAGAATACTGGACTAACAAATAGTAAAGAACCCTTTTTTCATATAGCCAGTCCTATTCTTTATACAATAATTGGAATACAATGGGTGATGTGGTTGACCCACTAGATGCTTTTACTTCCCAAGGCATTTCCTGGTACCCAATGAGAGTCTGAACCTATGATTACCTGGCCTGCACCAAATGTGACAGCCACTGTATTGCCACAGCTCGCAATATTTCATACCCTTTTGAAATTTGTTGATACCAGTTCTAAGGGCTACTTGGAAAGAAAGAGAAAGACAATGAGTGGAAATTCTTGACAGTTTCTTGTTGTTATGTCATGGAAAGGTGTCAGCATATGAATTTATAAATGATCTTAGAGATTGCAAAATGGGGAGAAGCATGAATGCCTACTAAAGCCATTGGGAAAAGGCAGCTGATGGAAGAAAGTAAATAAGTGACAAATCAAATCTGTTTGTGACATTAAAAACATGACACTTAACTAGAAGAACCATGCTGGACTGGTAGAAGATGTTGGGGGAGGGGGGGGGAGGGGAGGGGGGGAATTGGGAATATAAGGTAGTTAGAAAAAAAAAGGCAAAAAATGATACAAGTGAAAAGATATAAAGATATGACCAGTAGTTTGTTAAAGTCTGCACCCAACACGAGAGAAAGAAAGCATTGGAGATCCACTACAGTTTAAGTGTTGAGATGACAATGATTGTCTGACTCTGGAACCTAATGACCAAGACTAAACAAGACACATAAATAGTTGTAAGACCATGCAAAAGAAGTGGACTTTGCAGGTTTGAAAAGTTTAGTCATATGTTGTGCTTGTATAACTTTACCATCTACGAGTTGCTCTTACAATATACTGTGCTTGTTGGAAAACCAAGCCCTGAATTTAGAGATAAGAGTATCTCAAGAAAAATGACGTTTCAGAATCCACTAATTAATACATGATGGCTGAGTTTAAATGCTGGGTGCCAAATATTCATAAAATGAATTCCACAGATATGGGAAAGGAAAGATGGCCAGTATAATACTGATCCTAATATTTTTAGTTCATTGTTTTGTAGCTTATAAAAAGAAGACTCATATTCTGTGCCCAGTAATGGCTAAATACACATACATTTATTTTCCTTTGAATAGTGACTCACCGTAATTTGATTGGCTGTGGACTGAAGATTACTGTAACTCTCTGACAAGCTGGTCAGCTGAGCCTGTACTTGAGCTGCTAATTTTGGCTGGCACGGGTTCCTACAGATCAACTGTTTTCCTTGGCTGATGACAGAGTCTACAGTCACTCGATAATCTTCAATCTCCTTTACGATCAGCTACAGGAAACACAAACATTAAGCTTAGCCAAAAATATGACAAATATTTATGAGTTAGCATTTTACATGCTGTGTTTCAACAATCACTAACCAAAGATTAGAAGATAAAATAATATGGGAGGTAATGTTGATGCATCTCTCATAAAGATGATTACAGAAGCTTATATGTCTGGTATCGAACTTCTCTTTGAGAATGGTGCTAAATAAAATCCAGATAACAATATTTTCGGGACCTCGTGATGATATAGAAACTTTTCTTGATCTCTGAGAATATGATTGAGCTTACGCCTTCTCAAATAAAACAAACAAATGTGTGTAAATTGTGCATGTTAAAAATATCTTAACAAAATTAAATTTCAGAAGCCTGTCCAGAAGAGAATATATACAAGCGTATATATATATATATATATATATATATATATATATATATATATATATATATATATATATATATATATATATACATAAAGTTTTATAAGCAAGTGTATATGCATAGCTACACATTATTCCTTGCTGGTGCTAGGGAGTTTATGCACTAAGCTGAGAATCAAGTGTTGTAATCAAAACATTAATAAATAATTCTACAGTGAAAAAAAGATGGGCTTTAAATCCAACCAGGAACACAACCTCTGTTACAGGAATAATATGCCTGTTAGTTCTTAGTCAGGATGAAGTCCACAATACATACCACAAGTAACCTTTGTTCAGCAAAGCAACATTGTTTGCGAAATAATGACATGTAGAATATTCACAGGAATTAAAAAAAGTTAGTTGCGTATCCTTTACAGGACGTTGCAGAACCAACCCTAACAGCCCCTGGCTGTTGTGTGGTTTCTCTAGGCAATTTACATCCAGTAGTTTGCCATTGCTTTCTGGACGGTCGGCTTTCTTGATACCACTGTCGAAACCAATGCAAGGCGCATTGTCCGCAGCTGGGATCGAACCTGGAATCCCGGCATTACGAAGCGAAGCGTTCGCATCGACTTAGCCACAGAGCCGACATTCACAGGCATATCAATAGTTAATCTTCACATACAAGAGATAGTACAATGAGGGGGGACAACCAGCTAAATTTCTACCTTCCTTTATTCCCTGAGAATTATGGGAATCATGTAACCCATTTTACTCAAGTGGTGTCAAGCTAGGATTTTGCTATACCAGAACAAATTCCATTTGATGCATAATTAAAAGTGAATGCCAGTTCAGGCTTCATGCTGGTCCAGTGACTATATATGCATTCTCCTTGAAGTACAGATTTACCTGTCCTTAGTTTCAGCATCAGATGGATATCGGAACATTTCTCATGAATTAAAGGCGTCTGGCATGACCCCATCCTACAGTGAGTGCTATTACATCTGCAAATAAAGGACTAGCACCTTATACTCATTAAACCTCATGATATGAAAATAGAACCTCTCTTAATTTTGTTACACCCACAGGGTTTTGAGGTAGGTCAGCTTTAAAATGTATAATGTAAAGGAGGTTACCTTGTGTTTCTCCATCTGTCTCTCTGTGGGTTCCAATCTGGACATGCTCTGTGTGTTGTGAGCCATCAGTTTGTAAGACATGGCAAGCAGCCATTTGTCACATTCCTGCTGAGCTTCAGAAAATGATTGGTGTTGATCGTAGCCTCTCTGGAGACTCTCAGCAATCTCCTTCATGAAAGAAGAAACTACATCATGTACAGGCTTCACTGTAGACTAATATATAAACACATACCAGAGAACAAAGATGGACAACAGAAAAAAAACAATTATGCCAGCATAATGTTGATCATATCACCCATCCGAGGGCTGATTGGTCTGTAACAAATATTAGTAAAGCATCTTATGTCTGATGCACCACTGCTGTAAAAAAGGTCAGTTGTTTATTACTTTTTCCTAACCAGTGACCAAGTGTATTGACATTTGACAGCAGTGTAATCATTATATAATAGATTGTAAATGTATTATAAATGTTGCTGACATTCTGTATTTGTTTAAGAGGCAACTAAGACTAAAACAACGGACTCTAATTTATGCTTGACATTCTGTAATTTTGCTTGGCAAACTTTAAGACGGGCAACTAAGACTAAAACAACGGACTCTAATTTATGCTTATCAAAGAGGATAACAATTTCTTCCAGACACTTTCAGTCAAATATATTATATTGAGAGTTCTTCGAATTCTCACTGAATGGGTCAGATGTCCCAAAATCTGCAGACTGTGGCATCAGTGGTTACAGCACTCCAAGCAGATCCATGTTTGCCTTAATCTCCTTCTCAATAGCTATACCAGCTTACAATGACTAATCACACCTGTTTTGCATAAACATTATTTTGTGCATGTAGAGAAATATTCTTGTCTGGCAGCTCTTGTTGCATCCAAATGTCTGCCACTCTGGTTAGGGATATAGAGGCTAGCTTATCAGTATAATTAATTCTGATATATGCAGACTGACCAACTTTCTACCCCACCAGGACATCACACAAGCGATAAACACCCGATAACACAGAATGCGATCATGTGGATGAGGATCACCGTGGAGAGGTCCCAGAAACCGCGTTCTGCCACTAGATCATATTTATGGTCAGCCTATATTGCGGCCCCTGGCAAGAGCCAGGGTGGGGCTTCAAAATAGAGAAAAATTGCATCTCAAAAGGAGATAAAACAGTTCATGGATTGACATCTGCAGATCAAATGGCACAGATAGCATTTTTCATTGCCTTGAAAATCTGCATAACATGATAAAAATATAAAGGTGAGACAGGCTTTTTGTAATGATTTTACTCAGACCATCCATTTTAGTCTGATACAGCTAGCCTGGACTGTTATTGGGGAGCATATTCATTAAGTTACCATGAACACACATATGAAATTTTTAAGTAGCCAGGCATAAAAATGCCTTTGTTATATAAAAAAGAGAACGGTCTCCCTTGTGAGGCTGTTGTAACAGCAAATCCCCCATTCATCTCCTTGACAGTTTTACCCTTTAAGCTTCCAGTGTAAGCTTATGTACTTTGCTTACGCAAACCATTTGTCTGTTCATGTAGACCTCAACACCACATACGTCGGTCAGTATATTGACCATGTCTGCTGAACTAAGAAATACTTCTCAGCAGCAATGGTTAGTGTCACTCACCTTTCACGAGTGTGCATGTGTATGTATACTGGCCTGATATTTTGCAAGGCTGAAAACTCATGTAGACATATCTAGTAGCCATTAAACAGTCTGTTCCTATTCAAGTTTGAACGACTTCATGCAGTGGATGTCCAAGATCTGATTTCATCTTGAGGAAAGCAGTGACCCTGGATAACTTGATTTTGTTATTCATAGTGAGAAAATCCAATAGGTTTGACATAGTTTGGCAGGAGTGGTATCAACGAGTCATGTATAAATATTACTACCTTTGATCTCTTAACAACACTGGCATATCTGTCTTGTATTTCTGCTAGAGAGTCTGTCACCTCTGGGTTGTCACATAAAGCTTCTAAATTTGCAACCCTCTCAGCCAGTTCATTCACCAGCCTATTATGGTTGTCTACATCAGCTGTAATCATCTGTGGAAAATACACAGTTCAAACAAATGGTTGAATGTTTTCCACATTTAATGCTTGCCAGCAGAAGTAGAAAGACAGAAGAAGAAGAAGTTAATCTTTTAGAAGTGTAGTTGTATTTTACCTTTTTTATGTCCCAGGCAGTGGTCATTTTATCCAGTCAGGTATGGTTATAAATTTAATTTATTCATTCCAAGATAACTGTTAAATAATCTTTCTGTCTCAGACAGTTACTGCTTTAATTCACTTCCAATGCAGAGATTGATTACTGTCAGATAACAACTGTGCCAGGGAGAAACTGTTTAGAAATGACTGGGGTGCATGGAGAATCCATGAAATGTGTTGAGATGCTTGGTATAGACAGAATTAAATACAGTTATATTACCTGCTTAGGTTAATCTAGCAATAATTGTTACCAAATAATTAAAATTCTAAGTCTAAAGAAATGAAGAACCTAAAGCAACAGTTTTCTGAAAATGTAGTACAGATGTACAAAAGTAAAATTTACTGTTAAAACACTAACTGGTATATGATGTCAGGCCCATAGCACCAGTGAATGAATTGTAGACATGAGGGAATAAGGTCTGCATGTAGCATATACTTCCCTGAGCATCCTACCTACTTATTTTATGAATGTTCAATATTGAATAAGGAATCAAAATCATTGCACTCCGGACAGCATCATAAGCGCTCTGTCCCCATCTTTGGCAGCAAATGAAGAGGTCCAGTTCGATGGCACCAGTAACTGTCTGATTGTATATCCCTCTCGCCCTTCCTTTGAGTTTTGAGCGTTGGTCAGATACCCTGGTAGCTCCTTGCAGCGCCATTTTCTCAGACCGTAATGATCTATTTGCGCTTCCACACTGTTCACTCACTCTCAGAGGGCCCTCACAACGTCTAGCTTGTCATACACCAATTCATTATCAAGCAGAATATCCAAAGATTACTAACTACCCGAGACCTCTGAAGTGATGCCTCTGCATAAAGCATACCTGTCTCCACCTTTCTCAACATGCTCTGTGAATCAGTGACAATCATGGAATGTATGTACAGCTGATTCTCAAGCCAGCGCAAGGCAGCAGTGACTGCCTTCACCTCCATTCTCAAACTAGATATTGTGATATCATATACCAGGCTGTCCTGCACTAAGCGACGTCCATTCGCCTTTGCTATAAACCCCTATGCACTTAGTCTGCCCCTCAACACAGAGCAATCTGTATAGATAATCACATCATGAATCATTTGTTGAACTTCTGATTCTGCAGTACCAGCTGGCCAGTCCCTGCACTCACGACCTCAAGTAATAATAACCCTACACAAGTCTGAAACTTGATGGGATACTTTGACCCACTCCTCTCCTCGCACAAATTTATCACGCCTGCACACAAGTCTGATTGTGTCTTCAGCTTGCGCCATCCAAGACCTTCCTCTTTTCAGTCTGTGACCTTAGATCTACCCAGGGCTTCATGCCAGAGGTGCTTCTTGTCTGCAGCTACTCTGAGATATGACTTTGTTTGCAGAACTTTGAGCCTATCTGCAATAGTAGGAAGTGCAAGAATATATCGCATACATACTACCGAGGTATCTCTTTTAAATCCCAGAAAAACCTGCATGGATTTATTCTGTATGCGTTCAAGTTTCATCAGCTGACTCTTTGATATGGTAAGCATACCAAGTCCATAATCTATCACCGACAGGATCACATGCTGCAACATTGTGAACAACATTCTTTGTTCCATGTCTACTGCATGTCTTGAGGGCACTGAGTCCTTTTTTTTAGGTATCTGGGCATCACTTATAATAGAAGCCTGTCCCATAGGGATCACGTGGAGGCAATTGTGGTAAAATGCCAAATACCTTTTTTATGAAGTTAGCTTGACCTCAGAACCACACTAATAAAAAAAAATTAAAAAAAACGACTAAACACAGACAACTGTGTCAGGTCATCTAGTGTTATAACCATCCTGCAACCACTGCCCCACATTTCACATCCTTACCTTAAATTCATCTAGCTGCCTCTTCCTGTCTGATAGTTCAGCAATTATTTCTGGGGATGACTGCAGATAGCTTTCTGTGTCAGCAAGCCATTTGATGAGGCTACCATAGTACTCTTCATACTCATGCCACCTATGCTGTACACCCTCCAGTACTGCACTGCACTCAGAAATGTCCGAGTTGAGCTCCTCCCAGTTATTAGTCAGTTCTGTAACCTGCTGCTCTATCCATTGTTTACCCTCCATTGTGGTGAAAGATAAAATTCTTTCAGCTTGATCGCAAACAGCATTTACCATCTGCAGACCTTCATCCATACTTATAATGACATCCTGCAAAAATGTATTCATTTTCATTAGTACACATGTAATCAAAATATTTACAATTCATTCTAAAGAAAAGACAGCAACACACGTTACCCTAATATTACACAACGAAATGTTAAACTCTTCATATTCTGTGTTCTGATTATGTTATAATTTCCAGTATATGTGGTTCATTCATAAATTAATATTATAACAGTCACATGTTTTGTGGTTATTTAAATCTCAGAATTGCTGACATTTTCATGTCTATATATATATACATTACATCTCCCCCTGATGAGGTACAAGGTGGAAGAGAAGAAGAAGAAGAAGAAGCATATATATATATATATATATATATATATATATATATATATATATATATATATATATATATATATATATATATATCTATATTCTATATCTATCACCTTCTTCTTCTTCTTCTTCTCTTCCACCTTGTACCTCATCGGGGGGAGATGTAATGTTCGTTGATGAGCTCTGTCAAGAGTACTATTAAGACTGATGTTCATTTCTGTAAGGCTGTTCTTAATGCCATCACTCCATCTTTTCCGAGGTTTTCCACTCGCTTTATACCCGTTGTACCGTTTTAGTGTGGCTCGCTGTGGCAGATAGTACCAGGGCCTTCTTGTTACGTGTCCAAACCATTTCATTTGTTGTTCTTTGATGACCTGTAAGACTGGCTTTATTCCTAGCATTCGTCTGATTTCATGATTTTGTATTCTGTCTTTCCTTGAAACTCCTGCAGCTCTTCTAAGGCATTTCATCTCTGTTGTCACAATTTTACGTTCATTGGAGGATGTAAGTGTCCACGTTTGGCACTGATAGCATAATATTGGCCAAAAAATAGTTCTGATAAGATTCACTTTAGTACTCTGAGGTATCTGCTTGTGTGTCAACAGGGGAGATAGTTGACCCATTACTTGATTAGCTTTGGCACATCTGGAGCTAATTTCTCTGTCCAGTTTTCCGTCTGAAGTAAAAATTGCTCCCAAATACTTAAATTCCTCTGTTTGTCTCAGGGTGTTGTTTTTTAATTTAATTTCTAAATTGTCTTTATGTCTTCCTATCATCATTGTCTCTGTCTTCGTAGTGTTTATTTTCATATTATATTCCTCCCCTTTGTTACTAATTTGGTTTAGGTGGTTTGGTAGGCATTCCATATTTTCTGCTATGAGTACCTGGTCGTCGGCGAAAAGTAATATATATCATGCTACAGTATCAAATATACTATCTTCCAGTTGACAGATGATTTTTACCACCACATAGTTTCTGCTTTTCTAAGTAGTTTTCCATTTAGCAAAGCTAGAATACAGCATGGAACCTGTAACATGTATAATTAATAAACAGCATACTTTGATATCCTCAATCCTGTCTTGAATGTCATGCCAGTCGCCCGAACTGTCACTGCATGTTTGAACTCTAAGCATCATCTGTTTTAACCAGTTGCTGGCTCTGTCCAAGATCTCATCATAAAATCTGTGTTCATGAACAGATTCCCTTAGCTTTCTAACAGTGTCCTGAAACAGATGGAGTACATGCTCTATTATAATTCTTCTGTCTGTCCATCTGTGACAAGGGGTTTCTGTCTTACCTACAACAGATAGAAAGATATACTTATCCTTTTATATATGAACACAAAGATATAAAGGATCTGATAGTCGAGGGTTTATTTGTGTGTTTCTTTCATGTGTGCAGTTTTTAGAGAGATCTAATGGAGATCATCGCTGGAGCTACAGTCTGAGCTTTGTGTGATGCACTTGCCAGGCAGCTAGTTGTTCTGCAGTGAGGCAGACTAAGCCATACTAAGCCACCCCCCCCCCCCCCCCCCCCCCCCCCCAACTAATTTCAATTAATTGACCTGCAAAATTTTTTTTAAATTAGTTAAACAAGACACCAAGTGCATCCAGAAGCCAAACTCAAAATAAGAAAATCTAATCAAAAAGCAAACAAGGAATCTCTGTAATGAAAACAAAAACTGGAAGGCATATTGGGGAATTAGTACCAAAACATGAAGGATAGTCTACACTGGAGCAGGTAGGCTATTATGAAATATGCATCAGTCTCATGGGCTGAAGCAGTGAAAAAAAACTCGAGAAACCTACAAGAGTTCAAGATATAAAATTACGAATAAGACACAAAGGAATAAGAATATTATTCATCATCAACATCACGTAGCAGGTCCTCTGCAGAAAGTCACCTTTCATCATAGTCTGCCTGAAAGAAACCCAATCTCATCAATTCTGCCCCCTCATGCACTTTTGTATCCAAGGAGTCACTTCTATGCTGTGCTCATCTTCTTGTTTGTTGGCTCCTGACCCTCCTTTCTGGTACCATGCCTTCTGCTATTATTTATTGTTTATCCGCCTTGGCAAATGCTGTCCACAAAAACACTACTAGTCTAGCAGTGAATTCCAATCTGCTAGAAAAAAGCATAGCTTATGAAGAGCTACAGAAAACTACATGCCATCCCTATCTGTCTTGAGCTTTAAAACCCAAAAGAGACTCTTAAAACAATCTATGAAGTTAAACCAGAGAGAAGTACAACAATTACAGACCCGAGCATGTTACAGGGACTGGAAAAAAAATGATACAAAACAAAATTGCTATTGTATCATTCAATTTGTTCAATTACAGAAGGACTATGTCAAGATAAAGAAATAGACTAGAGAATTTGGTTACCCTAACCTCTATAATGAAGATGTAACTAGAAAATCAAACTGAGTCTCTGGAAGTGTGGATATACAGAAGAATAGGTTGTGTTTCATGAAAACTAAAACAATCAACTCTGGAAAGATTACAGATGAAAAGAGAATTACTGACAGAAATAAAAATAAAGCAACTAAAATACTTTGGCCATATCAAAAGATATAACATTGCTTTAAAAATCCTACGGGGAAAAAAAGTCGAGGGCAAGAGAGCAAGAGGTAGACAACATTACAATTGGGAGGACAACATCAAGAGATGGATGAACAGCAGTTTAATTCTTTCAGGACCACATTTTTTCTGGGGTTTGGACAGCATTAATTGTGAGCGGGATTGTTTTACTGCAACATGACAAAGCTAAAACATTCCTGAAGAAAAAGTATTGGCTGTATCAGGACATATAATAAAACAAATTAAAGATAAATGAGTGCAGAATAAATCTAAACTGTTTAAATATCAGTATTAAAAAAAATATTATTAAAATCGCACAACATTCAAGAATGTTAGACACATATAAAGATTACCAACATAAAAAATTGTGTGCTTACCTTACTTTTTTTACTTGTTCAACAACACTGCTATCCAATTCTAAGAATGCACATGCCTTCTCTGTTCAATTATGTATCAGGCTAGTCTTTATTTGAAATAATTAATTTAACTACTTTGGATGTAATGATATTTTTGTATGACATGTCAAATTTCACAACAACCAAAAATTGGGAAAACAGCTGATCGAAACATTGATCAAAATGAAATATTTTGTTCAATGTTTATATTCTAAACTAAATTATCGCCGATAGGTTTGTCACTTAGATATCAATCATAATATCAAGACAGTTGTTAACATTTGGCAGAGATTCATCAACGACAGAGCAGTATAAACAGTTGTAGACCTTTTCCCTTATCATTTAGTATAGAAAAACTATGTAAAAATTTTATCCCATCTAAATAATTTTTTTTAAATAAAAAATAATGCACTGACCACGATAAACTTCGCAAACAAAAGGACTTGCTGTTGGTAATCCTAATTGTTCAAAAACTTGTTCATTAAAATTAGTTTTTCCCACAAACAGAACAAAATTAGAGTGTCTTTATCATTAGCAAATATACTGCCGATACGTCCATTAGGGATACATTTATTCGCCAGGGAATGCTCAACTCAACGCAACTCAACTAACCTTTAAAAGAGCTGTCGGCCTGTTATAGTTTACATCTAGGCTGCAAAATGTGCACATTTTGGCTCAAAACATCAAGTTTCAACAAACCCTTAATTTGTCACAAATTGCTTGTTCAGGGGCATTGGGTCTATCCCTATTTCCTCTAAAGAGGTCCCAGAACTCACACGAGGGTGATAGCACTGTTACACAATATTTTGGAGAGAAAAAACTGGTGAGCCACTGTGGGATTTCAAACGAAGATCATCAATTTAATCAAGACAAAGTATGAGGATATAAAATCCTGAACTCTCCATGATGGTAAATAAAAGGTAAAGTATGAAATACAATAGGTTATGGCTGGATTGTCTTTTGCCCCCTTTATCATTCTTGCTGACCAAAAATTGATTTTGAAGAACACCATCATCGTATGTTCTTGGCTGAAAATCAATTATTTGCTTCAGATCTGAGATTATCAAGCAATGCAAGATTCTTTGTATGGAGCAAACTAGCTTTTTTTCTGAAGCATTCTCTTAAGTCCAATACAATTACAACTTTGGGGGGGGGGGGGGGGGGGCAGCAAAGTGGTCAAGCCATTTGCCTCGCACTCTAAAGGTCACAGGTTCATTTCACGGCAGTGCCATTCAGTTCACAAATGCAATTTTTATGGAGATCCAAGGAGATCGTTGCTGGAGCTATGAAGGTTGTGCGCCATGTGATGTTCTTGACAGGCAGCTAGTTGTTCTGTGGAGAAAGACTCAGTTATATGGGATTGGGATAAAACCCGGTGAAATAAAGTCGATCCTGTCACCTTTACCTTTACAAGTGATTAGGCTGTACTAATCTCCAGCCTCTAAAAAACTGCCATTATCACATCCACCTCTTTTCACATGCTCCATGTTGTGACATCATATACCACTTTAGCAATAAAGTCCATCCATTCTTTTTTTTTTGGCTCCAATAACATGGGCAAGAATTGTTCTTAATCAGCTGTTGCCAAGATCTAATTAGAGTTTGTGACCACATTTGGTAATACTTGTTAAATCAAATAATAGTAAAAAGAAATCTGGCAGACCTCAGCTAATGCACAAAGAGTCTGATAGCTTGTTGACAGCTGTCTGATATTATTAGAATCTCCTCCATTTTTGCTCTTTTGGGAAAAAGAATCCACTTTGGCTTTCAGTTTGTTCAACTCTGACCTGTTGCTCAAAATGTCATCATAGAGATCCTGCAGGGAATAAAAGAATAACCTGTCCTGTCAGTAAACATCTTTTACCACGCTAAGGGACATAATGTACAGAAGTCACAGTCTTCACAAACATTAGATAAACATATCAAAGTAATAAGTAAAAAAAAAAAATAGGGCATATAGGGCTAGACCTATATATTATAGACCAACGGCACAAGATGGGTGATGTGGTCAGCATCCCACCGGCATATCAAAGTAATATTTGCCCTTTATTGGTAAGTCTAATTACTGTTTAACATTAGAAATATTTATAATTTCTTCCTGTATACTTTCGACAAATATTAGTTACCACAGTTTCACCCTTTTCAGGATGAAATTTTTCGTTATTTGAAGCCCTACTCTGGCTTTTGCCAGGGGCCGCAATATAGGCAGGTCATAAATATGGCCAATTGTCTGAATGCGGTTTCTGGGACCTCTCCACGGCAATCCTCATCCACATGGTGGCACTTTGTGTCATCGGGTGTTTATCGCTTGTGTGATGTCCTGGTGGGGTAGAAATTCAGTCAGTCATACTTTCGACAACTCCGTGTATAACAGCACTTTTATAAAACCAGACTTTTTAAATCTTGGGTTTAAGAGCAGTTTAGGGAACATCATAGATGCTACATCTCTTCAAGCAAATATCATGAGGTAGATTATAGCTGTTAGAGTAAAATATTAATCTTGAACATGTTGGAAATAAGTTTCTCGTGTATTGTTTTTACTGTGTACATCATCTGTGAGGATGTTTTCAATACTTTTATAGTGTAGGAATCTTGTTGTTTTATTCATTGATTAAAGTTTGGTACCATCCCCATAATGAAGGTTATCAATGGTGTGACTCTCGTACCATTGTCTGAAAACCATAAGAATGGATTTTTACTCGTCCACCAAGAGGAAACGAATCACAGTAATCGAGGGTCATGAAATGGTTAAAAAGTTTGATTGTTTTGGTATACTTTTTTCTTTCCTTATGTTGAGAGTCCTACTCATATTCTGTATTGTGTTAATTTCACCATCTTAATATTCCCATGTCAGTAACACATTTGTTGTGCCAGAGACGGACAAGCAGATAACTTGAAGTCAGTGGGATAGGAAGAATTTTATTATCATTACTTGCACCGTCATATATGTATAATAAATTCCTGTATTTCTGTTTGAAGTTACACTGGTTATTAGAGGTTCTCTAGAAGACTCATACTGCTCAAAAAAGAAGTCAGATAAGATATAGAAAATGTCTGGAAATAACTATAGTTAAACCAGACATCTCTAATGCAATACTTCACTTGTTACACCGGTAAAATTTATGTAACATTCCTTTAGCTGTAATTTAGAAAATAAAAAACAAACATATTTATGTGACTTTTTAAAGAGAAAATATGAATGTATCCTGACAAAGCAGCTGAATAAATGACAAGTAAACAAATATAATTAAAAAAACAAAACAAAATGAATGTAGCCTGGCAAAGCAGCTGAATAAACGACGAGTAAACAAATATAATAATAGAACAATATTAATGTAGCCTGGCAAAGCAGTTGAATAAATGATGAGTAAACAAATATAATAAAAACAACAGAAAGAAATACACAGCTGTCATAATGAAATTAATGAGGTGACCATAACTTATTTATATAAGTACTCTGCAATATCAGCAGTACAAGAAGCAGTTAGAAAATAATAATCACCTCTGCCTTCTGAAGCTGAGATCTTGTATTGGATAAATGAGCTGTAGGTTGAACACAGCTTTTCAGCTTGTTCTCCATCATTTCTATCCAGCCGTTAAGTGCAGAATTTTCATCATCAAGGTCCTTCCATTGTGCAATACTTGTTTCCAATTTGTGTTCAATATTATTGACAACAGATGCGAATGCATTCCAGTCTTCCTGCAGACTCTTTCTCTCTTTCAGCAATGCATCCTGGCCTTGAGAATATGTTGTTGCACCACTTAGCCTTTCACCTTTGGTAGTCACCAGGTTTAGCAATTCATGACCTTGGCCTAAGGTGGCTTTGAAAACCTGAACAGTAAAATTATATATAAGTAACAGAAACATGAACTAAACTGTTATACTACTTATAGCACACTACTATGTGGCATTGTTCTAATGCCTGTTCCTTTTTTTTTAAATTGAAGTTTCTGTGATCAGACATGATTTCCCTTGCAAATAAACCCAGAGTAGACATTTTCTTCAATAACATAATCAGTTTGGGAGGCTGGCTATTTTGTTTCTTCTAAATAATTGTCTCTTGCTATATAGCTCCTCTTCTTCTTCTTCTTCACTTCCTCTTTTACTGCTCTGGGTGTCGAGGGAGATATAAGGTTCTGCTTCTTGCTCTTCTGGTGGCCTTGACCACAGACACATCATGCTGATATAGTTTCTTTAATGTTATCTATCTTTCCATCTTGTTCTTGGTCTACCTTGTGCTCTATGTCCTTCTCCTCTTTTACTGTATGCCTGTTATGGAAAGGCATCACAAGATATTCTTTCTAAGTCTAAGTGGGCAAATCATTTGATTTGCTATCTTTGTATGTAATTCAGAATTGGTCCTGTGTCTACTTTTTCTCTTAAGACCAAATTTCTGATTTTATCTTTTCTGACGACTCCTGCAGCCCTTATCTGATATCTCATTTCCATGGTTACTACTTTTCTTTTCTGATGTTTTTGAGTGACAATGTCTGGCACTGGTAACATAGAATTGGAATGAATATGCTTTGTATGAGATGTTTCTTTTTGCTGATCATGACTGTTATATGCTGTAAGAGGGGAAGGGTTGATAGGAAAGGATGGATGGGGAGGGGGGGAGGGAGGGGATATATCAACGCAACACATGGTGTGTTATTATTTATTTCGTGTTTGGTCTCGGTGTACAAAATAAATCTGGCCAAATATTAAAAAATTAGAATATATGCTGTATCTTTGAAAGTCATACACTGATGCTTTTTCATTGTGATTATCGTGCTAAATTGGGTTTCTACTTTTAAATCATTTGGGACTAAAAGAGGTAATGCCTTTGTGCTCTACTGCTATATTTAGTTTCTGCTTCTTCCTTCCTATTGACATTACTGCTGTCTATATAAGAGTATGCTGATAAATGTGCTTATACAAATTCTCCGAATAGACATGTCAAATTTCTTATATTCAAAAACTGGTTATCAGGATTGCAAAAAGTGGGACAGAAGTTTTGTTATATTTTGTATTAATGAAAGACATAATACGGTTTTATTGAGCTTACCACTATCTTTCAGTAACAAAACCCAAATGCAAATGTGGGTCAACAGAAAGGGACACTAATTATATCAGGATCATATCACGAATAACTCTGATGATGTAATCATGCTCTTTCAACAGTTTACAGCACTTCCCACAGTCTATGGCTCAACTCTTTGCCCTACATCTAACATTACCCTTAATGTCTCAGCACAATCTAAATTCCTCCTTTGACTAAATTCTGTTCATGCCAGAAAGTGCTATCTCAAAAGAAAATATGCTTCCTGGAACAAATAAAACATGCAGTAGACTAATCACTTCTCTAATCCCCTGAATAGACCTGATCCTGAACATCCCCTGGATATTCAACCAGCCTCTCGGGACCTTGACATTAATATTAAGACACCAAGCAAAACAAAAAATCCTTAAAACTATCCACACTTTAAAGAACAATAAAGCACCAGACAAAGACAAACTGCTAGCCGAACTTCCCAACACAACTGCCAGCATTCTAGAACCATAATTCATGGATATTTGGGAGAAAGAGGTGTTGCCTGATGACTGGACTAAAGGAACAATAGTCAAAATCCCCTAAAAAGGAGACTTAACATACTGCAATAATTGAAAGGGAATTACTATACTCTCAGTACCAAGCAGTACTTTTTGTAAAATCATCATAGCACGGCTTGAAAAGGGAGTAGAGAAATGCCTATGAGCAGAACAAGCAGGATTCAGAAAGGGCAGAGGAACAGCTGAGCACATCTACACCCCACACAACATTTTAGAACAATGCAATGAATGGCAAAGAAGTATATATATATATATATATATATTATAATTTTGTTTACTCTGAGAAAGCTTTTGACAATCTGACAGTCTCTAGAAAATATTACAATATTATGGAATCCCAGAAAAGACAGCCAACATAAATGCTCTCTTCTATAAAAACTTTTCCTGCAGTATAAAAAAAATTGCAACACATCTTTCCAATAAAGACAGGTGTAAGATAGGGATGTGTTATGTTATCTCTTCTTTTTAACCTTGTGATTGATTGGATACTATAGAACAAAGCAGTAGACAAGACAACGAGAGGCATATGATGGACTCCATTTACCAGCATCATTTTGCCAGTTATTCTTTATGGAGCAGAATGCTGGAGAATGACCAAAAAAGATGTGCACAAGCTATCCACTTTCCACCACACGTCAACATAGAATTATCAAACTTTTTAGGCCAGATACAATCTCAAACACTAAACTAGTTCAAATCACAAACCAAGAAACTCTAGACAGTATGATAACCAAGAGAAGATGGTAATGGCTTAGCCATGCCATGAGAATGAATCCTGATATACCTGCCAAAACAGCTCTCACATGGATACCAGAGGGAAAGAGAAAAAAAGGGACACCCAAAAAACAACATGGAGATGAACGATGGAAAGTGAACTGAGTGCTGCATCTCTGACATTGAAAATTGCGCTGAAGATTGCACAGAACAGGAAAACATGGTAAGCCCTCTCTGAAGCCTCATGTGCCACTAGGCAAAATGAGAAATGATGATAATTACTTAAACACTTAAAAAAACAACCAAAAGGGATACAGAGGTCCCATGCGGTGGGGCAACAGGGTTAAAATAGCTTGAACAGAACAAGAAAACAGTGCTGGCTTAAGAGACAGACACTTACAGGAACAACTGCAGAAAGTTATATCAGTAAGACAAACTAACAATAAAATAATTTTTTTTACCTTGAGCTGATGAAGTTTGTCTTGCAGAGTTTTCTTGTCCCCTGAATAGTCTGCCAGATGCTCAACCTGATGCTTTGATTTGGCAAGCCAGTTATAACATTCATCATATGACTTGCGATACTCTTCATAACTTCCAACTTGCTCTTCAGTTTGGTCCACAACATCCTTACAGAAACGAGAATTGATTATAATATAACTGGTCAAATGTTAGATTGAGGCAATGTGTATTTGAAGACAATGATCTAAGTGTGATGAAACCACCGCAGTGCTTTCAGAATTTCAAAGTTTTAATCATTTCTTTTGTTCAGTTAAGAAACTAAGAATTATTTTTACTATGCACTAAGCCCAAATAATTAAACCATGAAGGACCAAAAAAATTGTTTTCAAATCTTAGACCAGACAAGGAAACTAGTCCTGGTCTAAGATTACATAATATTATCAGCCAGTCCGCCTGGGTAAAAAAGAGGTGTCAGACGTACTACATGATCAGGCAAGCTAGGAATTAATCTGGTCCAGTAGCAAACTCCTCACATGATGGCTACTCTAGGTTGGTTTTTCACACCTTTTAATGACACTGGGTAGAACCAGATTCGCCCCACTTAATAATGTTCAATCAGAAGGGGGCAGTCAGTAATTGACTGACAGCAATAAAGAAATATAAGTAATTTAAAGGTCCTTCAGGGGTGGGGTTGCCTCTCCTGAAGGAAAAAGTTTATACAGATAAGAGAAGGAGGAGCTAAACTCTGCTAACTGAGATGAGGGGAAAAGATTAATTCAGTTTGGGGACGAGACCAATTCAGACTGCTGCCAGCATGCCACTAACTGAGAGCTACACTAGAAAGTAATCCTAGCTGTGTGAGACACTTTTTGTTTGACAAATTGCTGGAATTTTACCAGGTATGACTGAATATTAATTTCACTCATTTATTCATCTGTTAGGAGTTAAGCTATTCTATTCTACCTTTCCTGAATTATCTGAATACACATTCCTCTTGAAATAGTTCTTTGTAAGTATTCAAATTTCTCAGTTAAAAAAACAACATGAAGATCAGTGCAAACTGAAATAATGCAAGTTAGTAGAACCCCTGACCCACTACACATACTGATGGATGATTCCCGTCTGAATCAAGTTAGAGAATTTAAATATCTAGAAAGTATGATCACGGAAGATGGTGGAATTGACAGAGAAACCAGACTTCAGAAAGCAAGTGCACTTTAATAGCGTCACCATTTTTAAGACATCAACAAATAACTATGAGTGCAAAGAGACAGATTATAAACAAGATATTCATTCTAACATTTAGTTATCAGTGCCAAACATGGACACTATCTAAACCGCATATACAAGAGATGAGATGCCTGAGAAAAGCTGTCAACTTTACCATCTGAGATTGAGTTAATAATGATTCTATGATACAAATTGAGGAAACAACACCTTGTACTAGATTCATTAAGAAACAGCAGATCAGTTTGCATCCCATTCTTTGTCAGATAATCAAAGACGTGCAAAAGTTGAAAGAAATTGAATGTCCCAAGCCCTAACATCATTTTTAATCATTTCCGTAACAGTTCTGAATCGTGAATAAACAGTTCTGAATCGTGAATAAACAGTTCTGAATTGTGAATACCACTAAATATTTGTGTATGAAATAAACACTGACAACCAGAAACTTGTCTCATCAGTTCAATTGTCTCAGCAGCATTTCTCCCCAGTTTAATTCAGAATTTAATGTTCTCCCTTTACTTCATGCGTATATAACCATGCACCTATCCCAAGTTGAATAAAATGGTGGATTATTTTTTAAATGCAATTTTGCCAGGTCACAGACAAATGTTGCCTGTTTGCAAGACGTACTTTGCATCATGATTGGCATGTTTGTTTGGGACATAATAAAATATCACATTATTGAATTATCGGACTGTGTATGAGCAATAACACACTAAAATAACATTTAAACATTTTATATAAATGTCTCAGTCACAGCAGCAAAAACATAAATAAACTGTTATGTGTTGATTCAGACCTTGATGCTAGGCACTGAGGACTGCTACAGTGTTAGTCTTTGTGTCAGGTGACAATATCCTAATGACAAGAATACAATGACAATACAGTTTTGTAATAACAATAGAAAACAGCCATTTCCTTCCTCCCTTCCATATCCATTGATCAATAAATCATATCAACAATAAAAATATGTCAAATGACAATCTTATTACCTTGCTGTTCTTGACAAGAGCTGCATATCTAGATTTCAGCTCAGCAGTTTTGCTTCCAGAATAACTATCTTGTAACTGGCCAGCTTTGTCCTCTAGTTGGCTGAACAGACTGCTGTGTGCCAGAACGTCTGCTTGAAGTTCCTGTTTATAATTGATGGGTTTTCAGTCAATAAATAAATGTAACCATGTGTGCTCTCCCTTCTCTTATTTAATATTTACATTGAATATCTCAAGAAACCAACTTCAAAGCAGTTGACCCAGAGAAAATGAGCAGATGGCCTTTAATTATAGTTTTTTATTTACCTAGGTTGTGTTATTAATTAAAAATAAAGTGACAACTGGATTGTGACTTTTAGAGTTTGATTTAATTTAATGTTGGATGTGGATGTCACAGTTTTGTGGGACACAAAGGACACCATTTAGTTGCGGAAGATACAACCATCAACTTCATGTACTCCTAATGAGGAGGATCGTTCTCCTGGGAATGACCAACAGGAGTTAGGAGGTGGTGGCTAAAAGTGGTGGCTCTGCAACAGTAATCTCCATTATTATAAAATGGCTCCTGTTAGCAGAATTTTGGAAACCCTGACAAAGAGATCGTCACAGACTGCACTCTCTCGTGGAACGTAGGTGGGTTGCGGTTAGGGTCAGTTGTGGATGTTTTGGAGCAATTAAAAACGCTCACATTGTGGAATATAGAACATTTGACATCTACACAGCTGACAACAACGTTTTTTTCCCCTTGCAACTCTATGTGCAATCGGCGAGAAATTGCCAATTCAGTAGGGGTAGCTCTGAAAGGGCCATTCATTCTAATGTATACTTCTGCGTTCACGCATGACTTAAGAATTTTACACATTAGTATATCTGGAGAAAGGTCAGAATCGGGACCTGCCGCAGCAACAAAGACGGCAGACTATTGTTTTGGTGGCCAGAATGCAACAATGCCTGCCAGAAGTGTCGTTAACACGTCGCGACTCACACATACACAAGTCACTGGAGAGATGCCCACAGGAATAAAGACTGAACACACAAGTTGCTTGACAAATGTCCACAGGAAAAAGAAATGCACCAAAGAAAAAAACGAACAAACACCTTGGCAACAGTTGGCAATGCTTCATATCGTAGACACACACAATGGGAAACCCGCTCTTACCATAGAAAATATTGGACTGTCCCGTGATGTTATCTTGGAAAGATATTGGGAAAGAACCAAGAATTAGACTCAGAACTGACAAACCAAGTGGAGTTCATTCCTAGGAAAAAAAGGTTGGTCTAAAGTGGTAGACAGAATGACCACAGAAGAATAAGTCATTTACTACCGGAGGTTATCTGAATAGTCGAGATTAGTCATTTTCAAAAACTTTCAAGCTGATAGAAGAAAGAAGAAATTCAAAACAAGCAGGAACAGAAACATAGCCATACATATAGGAACTACACAAAAGAAATCAGAAGAGCTTTCAGAGGAGATACAAATCAGTTTATTATGAATATCTGTAATAGAATAGAATAACTACAGATGCAAGGAAGAGACAGAGACATGTTTAAAGAAATTAAAACATTAAAAGGTGAATTCAGGCCATCATTTCCTGTAATAAATGATAAAAAAGGTAACACATTAACCGAACCCAAAGACATATTAGGAAGATGGAAAGAATACTGTAGAGAAATGTATGAGGATGTGACAAGTAGTTCAGAAACAACTTATGAAAGGGACGAAAAAGAACCAGAGCCTTTACTGGATGAGATATGATCAGCAAAATACAGTCTAAAGAAAGGAAAGGAAAGTTACCAGGTTGCAATGAAATACCAGCAGAATTCATTCAGACAGGAGAAGAAGCCAGCATCTAAATCTACCATGCACTGTGCATAAAGATCTGGAACTGTAGAGTATGGGGTTTCCAGTGCATTTAATCGAAAATCTTTATCATGAACAACAAGCAGGCATCAAAGCAGCTGGTGAAACATCAGATTGGTTCTAGCTGCAGAAGGGAGTGAGGCAGGGGTACATTCTCTCACCATACCTTTTCAATATATATGCAGAAAACATAATGAGAAATGTCAAAAATGACCAGACTTGTGACAGTTAAGAACCGTTCATAATTGTTGGCAACCTTATTCCAGAACTTTGCTACGCAGATGATACAGTCCTCCTTTCAAACAGTGTGAAGGGAATAGAAAATTTCATCACATTAGTCCAAATGCACAGTAAAGATCAAAACCTGTTCTTGAAATTAAAGAAAACTAAAATAATGTCCACAGACAAAACTAGCTGTTACCCAAAAATTACAATAATTGATGAAGAAATTGAAAATTTGAATATCTAGGCTCTATAATCTTAGTAAATGCTGCATAAGATCGAAGGCAGGATTGTCAAAAACTTTGATAGTGAACTCTGGTGTGTGTCAAGGCTGTGTATTTCTTTTTATAACATACATGGATACTATATGTAAGAATATGTTCCAGAGAGAAAATGAGAGAATTAAGGCAACCATAAGTAACCAGATGACTCAAAAAAAAAAAAAAAAACGAGAAGCTACAGAGGGAAGCCATGAAAGATAAATATAGCAAGAAGCAGAACTCTAATAAGGAGATACACAAGATCCACAAATAACCCCAGCTTGTCAAACCTGTTAACAGAGAGAGGATAGACAATATAATGTTGACAATGTTGTTGGAGCTATTGAAACATGAATAGTTATTCAGCTCTACATAAAGACTGGGGTTCAGTAAAATATGTTGTGGTAGGCAGAACCAGAGGGGGAAATTTATTGTAGCAGACACATCATGGAATACCGCTGTTTTGTCATTCATGTGAAATTATCAGTGACTGAAATAGAACAATGGCTATTAGGTCATTCAGCAGTCAGTCCACCATGCAGGAAACTTCCCTGAACATTTCACACAGTTTCAAATCCAGTCAGATCAGAGTATGAGGGCTCCTGGAACATAAATGACCTGTATTCAGATTCAAGATTATCCCTCATCACCTTGGGAAGATGACATCAGTCGAGATGATGGAATGTCTCCATGAACTAACCCAGGTTCGGAATTGAACCAGACCTTGTCGACTTCATATAAGAACCAGATGGATTGTGCTGTGTGCACTGACCATGAATTCAGTTCCTATATTTCTCAGTGGATGGAACCTTGACTGTTTCAGGATTCAAAGAATCTTGAGGAGTGACCACTGAGATATGCCACCACACTGCAACCAAAGACAGATTTTGGAGAATCTCATAACCAGAGCTTCCTATCAAATGAGATTCCATAGACAGTCGAGCCAGAAGATTCATATTTTTCGTTTTCTTTCATATGTTGAATTAAAAGAATTTGTGTGTGTGTTGCACACTTTTCCACTCCCATACACGTACAAAACACATGTTGAGTAAAGAGTTTATCAACAACTGTGTATGAGATTCTCACACATCCATTATGTTTGACTTTGACAATATTGTTTTAAATGCGCTTGGAATGTAAGAGAGTTAGCTTGACATAGTTGGTAGGATGATAATTTAACAAAATATAAATTGAGGCAAGAAAAGGCATTTGATAATGGTATGAAAAAAATAGAGACAATAAAAGAAAAAAAAAAGGGTGACCTATAGTAACTTACTGATGATTGAAAAACTGGTTGTAACCAAAAATAAAAGAGTGCATGCTTATACCTGAGAGCTTAAGGTGCAAGGACCCTCTATTGAAAGAAGAGAAGAAGAAGAGATAATCATTGTCTTGAACATAAAGTTATTTTTTTGAAAATAAAGAAATATGATATAGCTATCTGTGATTGTGAGAACGAGCGAGGAGAATTTTTCTGGACAAGCATTGGGATGCCAATTTTACAGTGACATTTCCTCCTAATGATTGAACAGAAAGCTTTAAAACTGACAAAAAGCAGTAATGTAAGCAAATCAGTGTTGTCGAACATGTGCTGAGATGCACAATTCCAGATTAAACATTATTTTTGTATAAAATAATTAAAGTAGACTTACAGAATTATAAAATTAGAAATGAAAACCAGATGGTAAATAGCATCTGGAAATATGTTGTTATGACATCCTTATGAATGAACAGACCACTCTTGAGGAAGAATGTCGAATAACTGGGGAAATAAATGGTGTCTGAACAAACTGGGTTGCACTGCACCTCAACAGAGGGTCAGATTCCATATGAAAGAGTCATATGCAGGCAATGTTTATGTATTGGTTAGTTGCGTATCCTTTACAGGACGTTGCAGAACTAACCCCAACAGCCCCTGGCTGTTGCGTGGTTTTTCTAGGCAAATTTATGTCCAGTAGTTTGCCATTTCTTTCTGGACGGTCAGCTTTCTTGATACCACTGTCGAAACCAAGGCAAGGTGCATGGCCCGCAGCTGGGATCGAACCTGGCATCCCAGCATTAGGAAGCCTTCATTTATGTATTAGGAAAGGAAATTAATAGAGAATCCATATTAACTTTGGAATTCCATTAACTTCAAGAGCAAGGGAAATGCAGCAAGCTTTTATTGGAATAAATGGATAAGGTGTATCAGAAGAAGCAACTGTGAGTGTTTGTAGAAGGAGATGAAATAGTTGTAGGACAAACATCAAGATGCAACTCTGTCAGATCCTATGTTATTATTTATAAATGAAATCCTAGACTTCGTAAGGGTGGATTGCAACAGATTTGACATCTCAGTGTGTGAAAAGATTATCTGGTGGCTATGGGACAGAACAAGGAAATACATAGAGCCATGAATGTCAACTCAGGAAAGCCACAGTTATAAAATGGAAATCAGTAAGCTAAGCCTGAGAGAGAGGAAAAAGTGGAGGAGGGTTATTTGTTGACATAAAACTGCATTTGCATTGGTTCCCCTCCTCCCTAAATAAGATCACCTTGCTACATACTGAGGACTGCTTTTGATTGAATGGACCATGCCATATGCACAGGACCAAGTTAAAATGGTGAGTATGATGAGTGACTGCCAGTAGATGATTTCAGAACAGTCTAGACAGTGACGTCACATACCAGTAAATCGTGTGTGGAAGTCTGCTACTAGA